TGATTATTTAATATTATTGACCCATAGTGAGTGTCATAGTCGACCATCTCATCTCTACCTCTTTGAGATTAGGATTGATACTTACTGGGTACACGTTGTTTTCATGTTCATACTGCACTTGCTGCATATTTTATTGTGCAGGTACATATATGTATAGCGGCCTTGTGGGCTCAGAGGTGTGGTTAATAATTGTGGGGACATAGGTGAGCTGCATTCTATATTACGACCCGCAGCTAACAGAATCTCCGTTAGAGTTATTATACTTTCCTGTCTAATTTGTATTCTGGACAGATGTTGTATTTTATTTTAATTCCCTAGTAAATACTCATGCTTTTGTGAAATTGTTTAGAAATTTAGTTTTTAAAAATATTTATCATTTACTCTACGAGTTTTATCTTTACTATTTCATTGAAGAAAGTTTTATTTTAAAAATACTAAAATGGATAATTAAGTTAATTGATTATGGTTGGCTTGCCTGACAATGGTGTCTGGCGCCATCACGACCTTTTTGGATTTTGGGTCGTGACAGCGAAGAAGAAATATCTGTTGCACAAGGCTCACTTTGGAAGCTTATATCTTGCAATCTATAAAGAATTTAGAAATGATCCAAAAAAAGAAAGTTGTAGCCTTTGGTGTATAGTTTTCATAAAGTCAAACTATTTATTATTTGGAATTTTGTATAAAAGGTTATGACTATTATACTAGAGGCTGTCTGGAGGAATTAGGCAGCTTGCTCTTCGCGATCGCGATTAGTTTTCCGCGACCGCGAAGAGAAATTTTGAGCTGAGAAAAGTTGTGCTTCGCGATCACAAAGCATTTTCCGCGATCGCGAAGGGTTAATACTTGGGCAGAAGCTATATTTCGAGGGTTTGGCTCATTTTTACCTCATTCCTTCCATGAGAGCCAACTTTGGGGCGATTTTGGAGTGTCATTTTCATCATCAAACTTTAGGTAAGTGATTTCTACACCTTGTGAGTTAAATACATAGTTTATATGTGGATTAAAACATGAATATTTATGAAAATTATGGGATTTTAAGAGAAAAACCTAGAATTTTGTATTTTTGAATTTTTACCACGAAATTAGACATGAAATTAGGAATAAATTAAATATTTGAGTTCGTAGTGCTATGGGTAAAGTTTATTTTTGAATATTTTTGGAATTCGGGCACGTGGGCCGAGGGTTGACTTTATTGAATTTTCGAGTGGAGTTGAGAATCGTTATAAATTGATTTATTATGAGTATTAAAGTATATTTTTATTGGTGTGCACATTGTTTGACTAGATTTGGAGCGACAGACATCGGTTTGAGGTGTTAGAGTAGCGTTGGAGCCGGTTATGAAACTTCGGAGCGAGGTAAGTATCTTGTCTAACTCTGTGAGGAAAAAACTACCCCTATGTGATATATTTGATATGTGCTACTTGTTGCGGGGGCTACGTACGCACAAGGTGACGAGAGTCCGTACGTAGCTAGATTCATGTTATGTCCGGGTAGACTTAGGTTCCCTCCCTGCTATAACTATATTATTTGAGATGCCCCTTGCCTATTAAATTCCTTTATTTTATGTTACAACTTGAGACTAGACTTGCATAGAGTGATAGACTTGCTATTGTAAAGATTTGACGGGTTTCATGATTAGCCGCGAAATAATTGTACTCCTCTTATGAATTTCTCCCGTGTTATGTGTTTTCCTCTAAAGGTTTTCCTTAAAATCCATAACTCACACATTTATTCGTGAGTGGGTTCAAGGACCCGTTAAAGTTTCTTATTCTAATGGGATCGGGCCGTTCGCCTCGGCAGCATAATAGATACTTCTATGGTTTGTGGCGTTCGACCCTCGACAGTGCGCACATTATGATGGGATTGAACCGTTCGCCTCGGCATGATCACTACAAAAAAACCTGCATATTGTGACGGGGTTATGTTTGGGTATTGTGGGGGTTTAGAACCGCCAATATGCACATTAACGGCGGTTTCAGACAACGCCACAATTACATCCGCCAAAAAGTTATTGCGGCGGTTTTTTATTAACCGCCATAATTATAAAAGTGATAAAACAACGGTTCATTCTTGCAAATTGCGGCACTTAATAGCCGCCAGAATTATACATTAAGCCATTATTTATATTGTCTAAAATAGCAGTTTCAAACCGCCACAATCTCTTTCATTTCCTGCTTATTTTCTTCTAGATTTCTTTTCATTCTAGTTCGACACCCTGCCTAATTCATCAAAGCTTGTTCCAATGTTCCCAATTCGACAATTGAGAAGAACATAAGAGAAATGTTTAATAAGTAAACCATTCATTGTATATAAATAACTTAAGCACTTCAAAATTATATCATAAAATATATTAAAATTTCGCGTAGTACTTTACATCCACTGAATAAAAGGGAAATAACTAAGAACCAATTCTAAAAAAATGTTAATCGAGCACTCGCATGAATATACGGTGTTACTTCCAATTGGTGATCCTCTTTGGGCTGTCAGGTGATGGGACATACTTCTTATATCTTGAGCCTACAAAATTAAACAAAACAATAAGCAACAAGTAATAACAAAATTAGTCCTCGTGCATACAAAAGGGAACTTTTTATTCTTAATTACAAGCATGTAAAAGGGTCATGGTACAAACTAATATATTCTATTCCCCAAGCTGTTGAACAGGTTTTAGATGGTAGATGTACCTTATAGAATCATTAGTGTGTAAAGTTTCAGTCCATAAAAATGATTACCTTCAATGCCAATGTTCAAATTCCTTTACCACGTTCTTGTCACCTGATCAAAGACAACAAATAAATATGAAGAGGCAGAACTTGTATAGGGAAAGGAGTGAAGAGAACTTTCTTGAAAATCACAGTAACAACTAAGAAAATCCACCTAAACTGTATATACTCCTCATCCATTTGTCCAGACAACTAAAAGAGCGCTGTGTGTGTGTGTGTGTGTGTGTGTGAGAGAGAGAGAGAGAGAGAGAGAGAATTTATGGGGTGCTTCACCAAAACTAGAGCCAACGACGCATCCTGTACCTCTTAATTTAGCAATTAAATAAATTTTGACCTGGACAAAAGAAAGGATAACTCAACAGTGATTACTAGCATTATGTTTGCACCATCTCTATCTGAATTATCAATAGAGTCAGTCACCTGCTTTCCTGCGGAAGCTACTTTTCCATCTTGTTTTCCCTTCACCATCACCTCAAAAGTCACTCCATTTCGTTGCTGCATACAAAATTGTACTAAAAAGTAGTTATGAAGCAACTAATAAAAATTTAGGACCGACTAATGAAGCTGGACCTATATCATCAAATATTGGCTCATCTGTCAATGAAGCTACAAGGAAAAAAAAGCTAATTGCATTAATACCAGAGCAGCAACTCTATTAGAAATTTTTATACCAGTTAAAGCCTAAAGAAAACTAACGGAAAAGAAATTAACAGAGCAAACCGCATAGTGATACTGAGTGGTTATGAGTTTACTTAGAAAGCATAGGCTAGTTCTACATCTTTTTTTGCTTTACTTATCAAGAAAAAGGTACTTCAAATAAAATTTTCTACAGTCAAGTTGGTAATAGATATATGTCTATGCTTCTATGAGTCTATGTTTCTAGTTTATTATCAGTATCTACCCACATGAGACTAAATTTTTCCTTCACACAACAGCATATAGCATACCAATCATCACTACTACCATCAAGACAAGAAAGGCACAGCTAATCAAACAGCAACTCTAATTCACAAAATGCGAAATTCAGACTGGACAAACATGGCACAACAGAGAAACATCGAAGACAAATAGCAAAGTACTCTGAAAAAGCAGTAAGAAGTAGTGCTAATGCTAAATACCAAAACCATGAGACATACCCTAAATCTCAATAAATAAAACCCAACTCAACACATGGCTCTTGTTTCAGTCAATCAAAACTCAACCACAAATCAAACTATTTCTTAGAGCACCAGATATATGATAAACCCTAGATCTACAATCCGCATTAATAAAAAAGCAGTAAATAACAAAAATGAGAGAAAAATCGAAAGGACCTTGCTGAATTTTGTTTGGAGATAGAGGTTGCTGAACTCCTCGAAAGATTCGTTGGAGACCAGTGGCTTCCAATCGAGAGCCGAGATGAGGGAGTCGCAAGCTACGACGACTAGCGATCTGCGCCATATCGATAAGAGGGAGAGGGAGAGAGGAAATTGCAATACTAGGGTTTATATAGGAGGAGTGAGGGAGAAATGAGGGAGGAGGGAGTTCTAATTTTTGGTCTGAGCGGTGGAGGGAGTCTAAAATATTTGTTGGGAGGAACTTTTTGGTCCGAGAAAGTTGACAAAAATACTTTAAAATAATAATTAACAGTAGCGGCGGCTTGCAATCGTCGTAATCAACATCAATCGCCGTTATTTAAAAGCTTGATGTGGCATAGGGCGGCTTATCGGGCGGATCGGGCGGTTATTTATTTTTAATGGTTCGGCTTAGCAGTTATCGGCTTTTAAATATATTAATATGCTAGCCACCCGATAAGATATCAGGCGAATTGGTATCGGTTTAGCGGTTATCGAGTGATTTATCGGCCTAGTTCAATCTGTATTACAGAGGACTATTTTGGTCCTTTATGTTACAGCCTATTAGTTGTTACACCAAAATTGACACCTCCAAATACTAGAGAAATTTGCTAGTGCCCACTGACGCTGCTTTTAGTTCATACTACAGATATTGGAGCAATGGCTGCAATTGCACTTGACGCACATACTATTTCATAAAGATCATATCAATACTAATTTAATCTGTAAATATCGAGATAAAAAAGATCTAAAGGCAAAGTTGTAAAGATATTTAATTTACACATGCTTAAATCACTATTTTCCAGTATCTGATTAATCCATACACAGAGATAACAAAGAGTAAAAAACTTTATACATATATTTACACATGCTTATTAATCACCAATTTACTATCCATATATAGTAACCACTTAAAATCTTAACTGTTTTATATTAATGATGAATGGAGATTCTATTAACACTTAACACTTCCTAACATGATAATTACATATGTCAAAATGAGTCCAGAATACAACTAGAGATAAATGAAAATTTAGACATAAAATCTAGAACAATTGGAGACATCCACAAAATACAACTGTTGCGGCTAACGCCTAACAGTGCTTCAATTTCTGCAGCTTCAAAGTTCAAACAACAGCCTAAGAGTCTTTGGAATCACTCTGCAATGGTAGAACCATTTACATTATTAATAGCATTCAAGAAATAACAAACTGCTAACATCCAACAGCCTAGCACTATATAACTCAGATGGTAGCAGGCTTAAAATATGACAGTTTGAGGGCGCAAGGCTTTTAAAAATGAGATCAATTAATTTGCAGATACACCTTAAAATTTGAGCTAATTAGTAGAATTATATAAACTGTTGATTAAAAATTCATGTTTGTTGCTGAACACTAGCTTATTCTTATCTATTTTGCAGAGCTCAAGAGAGAAGAACAGAAAATCTAGCTGAGTTCAATTTCCACCAGAGAAGAATATCAAATTCTTTAGTGTCATTCTCAGTTTCTTCACCAAAATATTTATCTAACTCTGTTTTATTATCCACACCTCCACTCCCACTTTTATATTTTTTTATATCTTACATTAATGATTCTAAAAGTCCTGTATTTTGGGTGCTTACTTGACTGCCTGAAAGCCCGGAAGTATAAGTGTCCAATAAAGAACAATCTGAAGATGAAGCAAGCACGACACCTTTTGAGCTGGACTTTTCATACTCACTAAATAATGAAGTCATGCACTTCTTCACTTCTGCTTCTATAGTTGCCCCCGGATCTTCACCAAACATCTTTACAAGTGCATAGCCAACTGATTCGAGCTTGTAACGTGGATCCAAAATATATGACATGAAAATTATCTTGTTCATTTTCCCTGTATCACCCCAATACTTATTAAACTTTTCTTTCATCTTCTTTGCCATTTCACTTAAAACTGTATCTTCATTTGCTATCAATTGCTTCAAATAAATAGTAACCGCACAAATTTTAAGAAAATAAATATTCAATGTAACATAACGTGATTCAGATATTTTCAAAGTAGGAAGATAGAAGATTTCAAGAAACTTTATAATTCTTTTTACATTCTCCCAATCACTACTCAAAAGTTCACCTGTAGGAATTCCAACTTCAATATAAGAATGCTCAAGATAATGTTTTAGGCTAATTTCACTAGAAGTATAATGTGAAAATGCACTTTCAAATTCAACAGTCATGCGCAACATCAAGTAGGTGGAATTCCACCTAGTTGGAACATCCAAGCATAAAGTTTTTTACAATTGAGTTATTCATCATCAAAACATTCTTGAAACCGCTTCAACCTCGCAGGAGACTACCTAACATATCTCACTGCATGCCTAACACGTTTAATAGACACTGAAGATTCTTTTAAACCATCCTAGACTACAAGATTCATGATGTGAGCCATACATCTCACGTGAAGGTGATTACCGTTCATCAAATTAGTTCCTATTTTTGTTAATTGATTAGACAATTCTTTTATTGTCACATCATTTGAGCTTGCATTATCAACTGTGACGGTGAAGATCTTATTTATCTTCCACTCACATAAGTACCTACCAATACCATTTACCATATCTTCGCCTTTATGACTATTAATAGGACAAAAATTAGTTATTCTCTTATGCATATTACATTTACTATCAATCCAATGGGCAGTGATACACATATAATTGATTCTTTGTATAGAAGTCCAGGTATCAGTGGTAATACATACTCTTTGTTTCGTTTCTATAAAAGAACTCTTCAACTTTTGTTTTTTTTCATTAAAAAGATCAAAACAATCCCTAGTTACAGTACTACGGGAAGGAATTCGAAAATAAGGTTGCGCCACTTTCATAAAGTCTCTAAAACCTTCTTTCTCAACAAAGCTGAAAGGAAGCTCATCAACTATTACCATACGACATAATGC